TCTGTCTCTGTATCTCTTCTCCTCTTTTATAAGGACAGCACTCAGATGGGATTGGGACCCACCTAATGTTAGCCTCTAAGGTCCCTGGGTGGTGCAACAGTTGGTGCGCAACTATGGACATAAAATTTGGCAGCTTGAACGCACCCAGTGGTTCCATGGAAGAAAGTCCTGGTGATCTGCTTCCATAAAGATCATAGAGCCAAGAAAACCCTATGGAGTAGTTCTACTCTGTAACACATCAAGTTGCCATACATCAGAATCCACTCGACAGCAATGGGTAGTGTTAATCTCATGCTAACATAACTGATAATATTCAAAGAACCTATTTCCAAAGAGGGTCATGTTCACAGGTACAGGGGTTAGGACTTCAATATATCTTTATAAGTGACATGAGTCAATGCACAGCAACCAGGTTCCCTCCCCCCCACCCCAGTTTGCATACAGGGAAGGGGATGCCTCAACAAGCTAATCTCAATGCCTGTCTTTGGGGAATGAATCAATCTTTGGCAACTAACTCATGAAATCCTGGTCCCAAGCTCCCAAGGTATGGAAGTAGAGAAAGAATGAGCAAGTGATCTCAGGGTTAGAGACACCAGAAGATGTGCTACCCTCCCTTCCCAGAAGTAACATCTCGTAACCCAGACAAGTTCGGGAGCTCTGGAGGTGTACCTGGAAACCCTCTTGGGATGATGCTCTTCCCTGAGGGGCTAACAGTCTAAGAAAGGAGTCCCAGACAAAGGGAGGTGCCACCAGCAATGGTCAGTACAGGGGAGCACAGTACCCCAGTCCTGGGCTCTGAGGGAGCCTGTGGGGGTCAGTTAGGTTGGGCTTGTTTAGGGAAGGGCTGGGGCCTTGCTGAGCCTTCAAAGTGTGAACCAAGTGTCACAAGCAAAAATCTAAGCCTGTTTACACACTAATTACCCACTCCAGTTATCCAGATTCTATTACGCAAGAGAGAAATAGCACACTGGTTTCTAAGGGGCTGAGTCAGCAAGATGAGCGGAGGAAGGAGGGCTGATTGGGCATTCCTCGCAAAGTGCACAAATGTGGCGGCACAGCAAAAGACCCTGACTCTGGAGGAACGGAAAGGCAGGAGGCAGAGCCGGAACACAGGTGAGGCTGGAGATGCAGGTGGGGCCAGTACCAGCAACGGCCGTTGAGGCCAGGTGGAGAGTTCTGTACTTGACTTTAAGGTCTGTGGAAGCCACAGAAGGATTTCAAAGAGGGGAGTGAAGCCCTCACCTTGTTTGCGTCTCGTTTTGCAGTCCAGCTTGGATGGACGTGGCCGTTGAGTGTATGCTCAGAAAGTGTCAGGAAGCTGTGGGGTGAGCCGGTGAGACAGGATGGTGCTGGGACAGGCTGGCAGTACAGGTGGAAGCAGGAGAACAGGTGGACAGGTTGGAGTGCCAGAAGTGGACAAAGGCAGGCCAAGGAGGAGACACTCATCTCCACAGAGCAGTGAACAGATGAGAAAACGAAGACCCAGAAGCTTCGGATAACTGGTCTACCTGCATGGCCAGAAGGAAAGCTCACCTACACCCAAGGCCAGGTTGAGGGATCTGAGAGCGGGCGCCTGCTCATGTTAACACAGCATACGTGGCTTCTGTTTCTGCTCATTGATCTAGACCCAGATGTTAAACCAACAGAAGCAGCTGCCTATTGCATAAACCCACCCCTGAAAGGACAGCAGACATCATTTCCTATGTGACCGTTAAGCGTTAGCTGCAAAAGACACAGAGGTTCGTAGCTGAAGAGCAGAAGAGAGGAAGTTGTGGCAGGAGCAGCTGGTGAGAGGCTATGGGTGAGGGCCCCAGCTCCCAGGAGAGAAAGCCGCCCACCACTGACTCACAGCGTAGCAGGAGCTCATGGCTGACCGGAGGGGCAGGTAGGCATCTGGGGGTCTCCTGGGGTAGGGACCCCTTGTATTTTGGAAAGTGCCTGGGTGAGGGCCTGGAGGAATCTGGGCTTCCCTCTCATGTCTGCATCTTAAGAGCTTTAGGGGGTGGCCTGCGGAGAGACTGTTTCCCCCTCTTGAAGGGGTTGCGGGTTTAACACGTGGACCATGTCTTCAGCGCGTACCCAGAGGCTCGCTCAGAGCGGATCAGCACATACTGGGTTTGAGTGATTTTGCAGTGGTGCAGCTCAATGACCACCCCACTAGCCTTGTTCTAGAAATGCTCTCGCTGCATGTAGGGGTCTGTGAATTCTTGGTCACTGTGTGTGCCCGAGAGGGAGATGCTGGACATTTCCTGCCAGGTCAGGGCAGAGCCAAGTTGGCTGGGTGATGAAGCCCCAGATGTGTCCGTGATGAAAGCCAGGTGGTCTGGCCAGAGGTCTCATTCGTCAGTGGGGAGAGGTCAGCACCAGGGGTCTGTCTCCTGCCATCTAGGGACAATTTTGAGACCATAAAATGCACCCCATTCCTCGATCCCAGGGCGGTGTCCACTAGACACCACTAACCCATTGCCGTCAAGTCGATTCTGACTCACAGGGACCCTACAGGACAGAGTAGAACTGCCCCCCTAGAGTTTCCAAGGAGCGGCTGGTGGATTGGACTGCTGACATGTTGGTTAGCAGCCGAGCTCTTAACAACTGCGCCACCAGGGCTCCTAGACCCCACCAGCTACCTAATTTGGGGAGTCACTTCCGAGCCATATGTGTTACCCACTCCAGCCCAGAGCCCTCCCCAACACTGTAACACAGCTAGACAAAGGGCCACGGGGCAGAATCATTGTCTCTACAGACGACCTCAGAGCCTTTTCTGACAGTGCCCATCTCAGGGTGGGTGGTGAGGTGTATACAGCTGGGGGGCAGGTGGGGGTTGAGCTCCCCTGAGGAGACCACCTGCTGTCGAGGGGCTGGGCTACAGCCTCCTTCAGCCATGACATTTCTAAGAGGGAAACCAGGCTGGACCCAAGTCCCATTCTCTGCATCACATACAGCCACCTTTCAAGATGGGGGGAGAGGGGAGCACCTCGGGGCGGGGGGGGAAGAAAGGGGTACGAAGACTGCAGCAAAGATGTGAGTCAGAGGACCTGGCCGAGTCCTGCTGTTGTGACTTACCGGTTGTGAGGATCCAACCTAACAGTCATCGTGATTGCTAACCTTTATTAGATGCCATTCAACGTTCTAGGTACTTGTGTGCTAAGAGGGTATTATTTATCACCCGCTGAGAGTCAGAGTGGGCAGCGCCAAGCAACCTGTGAGAACTCCCTCCATTCCAGGGATGGGAAGCACCCACTGCCCCAGGTTCCTTCCCCAAACCCAGGTCTCCAGGAGATTAACGGGGGTGCTGGCTCAGGACCCAGGGGAGTTAGAAAGCCGGCAAGTTTGTGATGCAATGTCCGAGTCCAGGGTCAGATCGGGTCTTTGCCTCCCCGGCAGCGGCTGCACCATGCTCCCTTACGTTGTGCCCAGTGGGAACGTCGTGGTCCTCACGCCAAGTGACTTCAGCATGTCCCGTGCAGAGAAATCGGAACTTCCCAACCAGGACGACAGGGGCAAGGGGCTGAAGAATGAGGTCAAAGTTCTGGGGGTGAGTGCAGCCCTCATGGAGGGGACACATCCACTGCAATGGGGGGGACCATTCGGTTTTACTTGTGAGGCTCCAGGCTGTTCCAGAGGCTCCAGAGAGCCTTCTGAGCCCACCCTTTTGGGCTCACGGGAGCATTCACTTGAGAACGCTTTACTAAACTTTGCTTTCTTCACTCACTTGCAACCAGCGACCGTTCCTAATAGCCGATTTGCCTACACTTCATTTCTGGAGTGGTCGAAATTCTTCTGCTGAATAGACCATTCTAGATGTACTTCCCAGGAAATTTTTCTTTCTGAAAATTACAGAAAATTCATCTTCCTGCCCCCCTCCCATTTGAAAACATTAACCATTTTGAAAACAGATAAACATGTCCTTTGTCTGCCTTTCAGCATTTTTAAGAAATCCGTGTTTTCTTAAACACACATCTGTTTAATGACTGAAAGGAGGGAAGGAGGAAAGGGGGAAGGAGATGGGCGGCCACAGGGACCAGGAGGAGGGAGTCCTGGTGCCAGTCCTGCCTCAGCACCTCACTACCCATTAGGGCTGCTGCAGCTCCCTCACTCTCACCATACATCCATCTCATCATCTGTATGAGATGAGACCAGCGCTTGATGAGCCGTCATATTACCACACATGAGAAACTGGTTGATAAATGTTAGGTAACTGTGAAACCATGAGGCAGAATTATTTTGAGGCTGACTCAGAGAGGCTACACCTCGTAGTCAGTTGCCATCAAGTTGACTTTGACTCATGGTGACCCCATGTGTGTCAGAGTAGAACTGTGCTCCGTAAAGTTTTCAATGGCCAATTTTTCAGAAGATTGCCAGACCTTTCTTCTGAGGTGCCTGTGAGTAGACTCCAACTACAAACCTTTCAGTTAGTAGCCTAACACTTAACCATTTGCACCACCCAGAGACTGCCTACCTAGCACCCAATCATAGCTCTCGGGATCCCTCTTGGCTAGGGGGCCAGCCCTGAACAGACAGCACCACAAGTTCACTCCATCTAGTAGAAGATGGGGACCAGTTCCTCCACCCCCAACTGCCTTGGAGACACTGCTGTGCACACAGTACGGAGAAGGGAGAGCAGGCTTGGGGGATTTGGAAGCCCAGAGCTGGGGTGCCTGACACGCTGGGACCCCGCAGACCATCGAGGAGCCCAGCAAGCACAGCCAAGAGCCGTGAGGCAGAAACACTGGGCACGGCCCTCCACTCCAGTCAGGGAAGCTCCAGGCTAGACAAGCCTGGACCCACTTCTCCTGCATCCACACAGTAGCTCTCGTTGCACTGAGGGCGCCGGCTCTTGCGTGTTCCCGGGCGACTGACATACCCCTGCCCGTCACCGACTAACCAGGAACTGTCTTCCTCCCCTTACAGACCCTGCAGGTCCTGGCCGGCATGATGATTATGAGCTTGGGGATCACTTTGGGGTGCACTGTCACCAGTCATCACTTCAGCCCCATTGTTTCCACCTTAATGAAATCAATGTACCCCTTCATAGGGGCCAAGTGTGTGAGTAGAAGGCGCTCGCGCTGGACGGCGGGTCTCTGGAGCAAAGGGGATGGGGCTGCTCACCTGGTACCTTGCGATGTCTCTGTCCTACGGAAAGTGGAGACTCAGGCATGGAACTTGGTTTAGGGGCGACCAGCCAGTAGGGGAAGGCTTCGGAGGAGACCAAGGGGGCACCTTCTCTCCTAGACTTCTCAGGTCTCATGAATGTTTTAGGGGTCTCTTTGTCCTCCTCTGCCCACTGGCCTTCCCTTCCATGACACTCAGTGTCTCAGTCTCCTACAGCTGCTGTAACAGAAATACCACACGTGGGTGGCTTTAAAAAAAGAAATTTATTTTCTTGTAGTGCTGGAAGCTCCAAGTCCAAACCCGGGTCTCTCTCTCTGCCTTTTCTGTCTGCGGGTTTCTCTCCTAGTCTCTGGTGCCTGTCGGCATTCCTTGGAAATCCTCGGGGCTCCTTGGTGTCTGTCTTCCCCTGTGTGGGTGTCTCTGGGTCTGTTCTGCTCTTTTTATAACTCAGAGGTGATTAGGTTTAGGATCCACCCTACCCTGTTATGGCCTCATTAGCATAACAAAAGAACACTCCCTATTTCCAAGTAGAGTCACATTTACAGGTACAGGGGTTAGGACTTCCACACACATTTCTGGGGGACACAAGTTAATCCAGAACAGTCTGTTGGCTCTGTCTGTACGGGGCAGCCCAGCATCCCATGTGCCCCAGGCCATTGGCCCCACTGGGTTGTCTAATGGAGGGGCCACAGGACGTGGTGATTTTGTGGTTGGGAGACTAGGGCTGCCTCTTCATGTGGAAACTGACCGGCCATCTCCTCTTCTGAATAGTTTATCGTTTCTGGATTGCTGTCCCTCATCTTGGAAAAAAGGTTCAACAAGCACTTGGTGAGTACGAGAGCAACATCAAGGCCTCCCTTAATCAGAAGGGATTGTAAACTTGGCGTGGGGGCGGCCTCTGACCCCCTGTAACTTCCCAAGGGGGAAGGAGAATCAAGATCAGCAGCCCAAGGCTGATTGCTATGAGGCAGAAGTCAGACACGCCTTCTCTCTCCACCATCTTCACGAATTCCGACACCACCCGTCCCTCCCACGGCACTCTCTGCTTCTCTGCTGGCTCGATAATTCATTGCAATGGCCACACAGAACTCACAGACCATACTCATGACTATAGGGTTTATTAAGGAAGTAACAGTTTACAATTCAGGCTCAGGAACACGCAAGGATATACTTCTTCCATTGGGACAGCCTCTCCCCAGCCA